TTCCTGTGCCTCCCCCAGGGTGTGTGCAGTGACAGGAGCTTTCCTGCGCCCCTGGATGAACTGCCCGGGCTCTGAGCATCCCACAACCCACCCTGAGGGCCCATTCACCCCAGCCCATCCCTGCCTCTACCCTACTCCTTCCCTCACTGTTGGTGCCTTGATCTTCCCCCTCCCACGCCCCTTACCCTCCACAGACTTACCTGCTGGGCAGTGTGTGCGTGTGTGCGTGCATGCATGAGTGGGTCTGTCTGTCTGTGTACTCAGCCCTCCCAAATAATATTTTCTTCCTCTGCCTATGTGTACATCTATCTGTCTGTCAATATATTACTAGTTGATTCCAGTTAGGACTGGCTACCCTGGATTTTATTTATCAGGACCATCTCAAATTCTGTTTCTGATTACTGCTGTTTTAATGCATACATCTTCCCTGGATAGTTACTGAGGACTAGACATTAAAATCGGATTGGCACAGCAACTCTAGTATATCAGAATGATCCACTCCACAGGCATGAATGATGCAGATAGCAGAAAAAAAAAGTGCAGCCTATTCAAGGAGTAGTTACCCTGAGCACAGATGAATAACTAAGCTTTAAGTATGTTATGTTTAGTTTCTGCTTGCTGTTAGATGCACTATGGAAAAGGGCAAGTGCTGTTGTTCTTAGCCAAAGGATCAAAAGGTCAGAAATTACTTAGTCCCTGAAAGCAAGGCTGACACAAATGGGGGTTGGAGGGAGAGGGGGTTAGCTTTTTTCCCCCTAGGATATCTAGAGGCAAATCCAGGATTTGGCAACAGGTGGTGCAGGAGCTGCCGCATGTAGGTTGCACTCAACTCCCAGCTTCCTTCCCCACCAATGCTGGAGCTTCTGGCTACTTTTAAAGTCCCCAAAGGCAGGTAAGAATTTCCCCCTTCCTCTTCATGCTCAGAGCCAGGTCCCCTTCTCTCTCCTTTCCCCTGCCTCCCCGCCTTGTGTGCTCCTACTGCTTTCCCAGCTCTCTGGCTGAGGAAGCTTCAAAGCCCCTCTGGCTCACTCCCTCTGTGCTATGGGGGGGCTGGGCACAACTGGAACAGGGACAGAGGTTGCAGCAGAGATCAGTGGGGATGCATTCCCCCACCCTGCCTGGTCCCCCCAGGAGCAGGCATGGGAAGGGGGAACCCCCTGCTTTTGCCTCTGCTGCTTCCACTATTCCCAGCTGAGCATCCCCCTGCACAGCCTGGCTGGAGCAGGCAGGACTGTCTTTGAATCTTCCCAGCCCCAGACAGCTGGAAAAGCAGTAGCAGGAGGTGAGGGAGGGGGGAAAGGGGTGGGGAGGATGTTGCCTAAAGTTTTGTTTTAAGCAGTGGGTGAAGGAGATTCATGATACAGGCACAGACACTCAGTCTGCTCAGGGGATTGATTGACTTTACTGAATACATAAGCAAGCAGCACAGTCTACTAAAAGAAAAAACTGTGCTTATGTAGCTTTGGTGCCAGAGGAGGTCCCAACAGTTGATCTGGCTCTGAGGATGCTCTGGGATTCACACACAATGAACTGTCATCTTGGCAGCAAGTCTGGCCGGTATCTCATCTTCATACTTCGTTGGTGTGTCTACATGAGATGCTGACTACCCAGAAGCCTGATACTACTGTGCAGTAGCGTCGCATAGCAAAAACTGTACTACTGCACAGTAGTGTCAGGCTACTGTACAGTAGTCTTGCTTAAAAGGCATTCGCTGGTGCTACTGCACAGTAATTCTAATTACTGCGCATTATTTAGTATTTGTATAAGTAAGTATTTGTATAAGCAAGTACTAAATAAATGCACAGTAATCACTGCACAGTAGCATGTCATGTAGATGTACCCTGTCTTTCCATATTGTAACAGGGTGGCCTGTGGCCTTAACGATAGGCAGTTAGTTAGTCTGAAGGGCTGCAGCTGTGGGTGACCCACTGGGAACCAAAAACCACAGTAGGTGAAACCAGCAGGGGGAGATGGAGACCTCTGGACTTTGAAGAGGGTAAGCCTGGGAAAGGAGGGCTGAGGCCACAGCAGGCCACCCCAGGGTCCAGTGCAGTAAGGTGGTTCTTTGCTTGTGTGATGAACAACTGTATAGGACTGGGGCATGCTGGGAGGTGCTCCAGACAGCAGGCCAGCAGGTTTTAAGCAAAGACCAGCAGCAGCATACTACTGAGGCGACCTGAGATGCTCAGAGAAGGAGCAAAAGCCTGGCTGAAAAGGATCTGAGGCAGCCACCTGCTACACTCACTCTCTCTCCCCGTCCTTTGGTGTTTGTGTTTCTGCAGTACTTTTCCACTTCTTTTCCTCTCAACCTCACTCGGGACTTTTCCTCCCCTTCATTTTGTTGCACTCATGCTCACAGCTCACGAGGAGCTGGAGATGGGTCTCCGCACAGATGATATTTTTCACTGTGGTATTCGACTTGGCCCATGCAGGGGACATACAGCTGTCAGGCCATGAGGGGACCTGCCTCTGAGCATGGGGAGGAAGGAGAGGAATTATCAAGTCCTTTAAGGGCTTCCCTAGGGGCTACTGGGGTGCAAATGCACCTGGAAAGGGAGCAGGCCTAACCACACCACTGCATCCCTGGATACACACCAGGGTACTAAAGGAGCTGGCTAGCATCATAGCCCAGCCTCTGGCATGGATCTTTGAGATCTCCTGGTGCTCTGGTGTAGTGTCCGAAGACTGGGAGAAGGCCAATGTGGTGCCGATCTTCAAGAAAGGGAGGAAAGTGGATCCAGCAAACTATAGGCACATCAGCCTGACTTCTATCCCGGGGAAGATCTTAGAAAAGTTTATTA